CCCTCGGCGGGAGCGCTGCCGCGCTTCCCCAGCGGCGCCCCGTAGCCGTGTGCCACCGGGCCGGCCCCATGTTCTTTTTTTAAATATGCCATTTACTAATGGGAAGAACTGGTTGTTTGTCCTATAGCAGTCCTATATTCTAGATTTGGCACTTCAAGGTGGCATTGAACTTGTTCCAGTATCACCTATAAATAGGAAGTTAGATCTCCAATTAGATTCATGTGTAATTAGATGGAGTGGTGGGCAAAATACCTTACAGGTAGTATTGTGTATTTTTGAAGACTTCACATCAGTAGGCCCAAAATGTTTAGATGTCCCACCTTTGACTGACTGACCTTGCCTTGTTGGTGCTCTTTAATATGTTCTTCTATCTCCTGTAAATCCTAACTAAACTGATGGATAGATTTAGAGTGGTCTTCAAAATTGAGTAGGCATCAGAGTCATCTGATACACCTATTAAAACTCAGATTGCTGTACCCCACTTCAGTTTCTGACCCAAGATTTTGCATTTTTAACAAGTTGATGCTGATATTCCTGGTCTGGGGACCATACCTTGAGAATCCCTGATCTATGGTCCTGATAAGATTTATATTTAATTTTTTTGCATAAATACTTCATAAGTAGTATAGATACTTTCTTTGAATCTGTTTTCTTACAATATGTCTTTCTAATGATGAGGGAGGAATGTTCTCAATACTGATAGTAATCTCAATAATCTCAATTCTGCAAACTGTAGGGTACATTACCATAACCTCAATAGAATTTATGTCACAAGATCCAGAATAAGAATACATCATGTGTATTTTTAGCAATATACTATCCCAAATTATAAATTTGCTTTTATAAACTGTTTTTAATTTATTCTATCAAAACTAACCCTATTTTTAATTATAAAATTAGCCAGGACTTTAAGAAGTATATGTGTATTTTTAAATTAAAACATAGCTTTTCAGTAGAACAATGATGTGATCTCAAAATATTTAGCATGTTTAATGGTCCTCTTTTAAAAGCCCAGTGTGTTTAATGTAATGTGGATGCTGCTAACACCCAAGTGTGGTTCCTATAAGTTGAGGGTTCATTGATTAAAAGATCTGAAAGAGACTAGCCGTGGGGTCCTAATAACAGAGATTTTTAAAAATAATTTCATAGAAGTTATATACAGAAGTTCATTAGAAACCCAGAACTCCTAAGACATGCTTTTGCTAAGTCCTATAAATATATAGGAAGATTTCACTTATTAAACTTAAATTAGTTTGCCCTTTAAAGGTCACTTACTTCTTATATCTTATCTATGTGAGTAAATAAAAGAGAACTTGTAAAAATTAAAAACAGTGATGGTTGGGGCCGGCCCGGTGACGCACTGGATAAGTGCGCCGCTTGGGAAGTGCGGCGGCGCTCCCGCCTGAGGGTTCGGATCCACATACAGACCGGTTCCCGCTCACTGTCTGAGCGAGGCGCGGGAGCAACACCGAGGGTTGCGATCCCGTTGCCGGTCCCCGGTCCGGTACGGGGGCAACACTGAGGGTTGCGATCCGTTGCCAGACACGGAAAAAGACAAAAAGACAAAAAAAAAAAAAAAAAATTTGCCC